TTCATTTTCTTAGTTTCATAACTAATAGTAACAGGGTCAAATTTAACTTTGCATCATTTAAAAAAAAACTATATATTTTGGTATTTGGCAAACAACAAGTTGGGGCAGCACCGTGTCAAACCACATATTAATTGTCTGGATAAAACAGAGTATTTTAATGGTTTTTTCCCCCAATTTTTTTAAAATACAAGCTGTAATGAAAATGAGCTTTAATGAAACAAAACTAAGGAATTGAGTAGAAAGTAGAGATGATTGCAAAAAAAAAGGAATAGAAGTAAAAAGTTGTATATAGTAAATATAATAATATAGTAAAGTATTTGTAGCCAACATTTCTACTGAAGTGAGGTAATAAATATTTGTATTTTGTTCCTTAACACCTCTGGTGGCGACCATAGACACTAAGCTGCTTCCAGCTCTGCAAAGCAAGTATTTTATAGATAATTTCTGTTTGAAAGTTGTGAGTTTGATTCCAAAACTCCTGCTAGAAGACATCGTAAGCCAAGTTACCTACCGATCAGTGAACTGATAAATCATAAGTCATTAGGTTTCATTTAATCTTCTTATTAAATCTGCAGTCTTGTCATCTTATCAAAGCTTTGATGGATTCTCCTCTGTGCAGTATGTTTGTGAGCGCCATTTTCAGAAGGTGTGGAACCGCAGCCTCTTCACCGGCCTGCGCTCCGTCACTCACTTTGGCCGTCCGCCCTTCGTCTCTTTTTTCAGCTCTCTGCAGGAAGTTCACCCTGAGGTGAGACCTGCTTTTATTTCAGATTTCCTTTTATTTTTTGTTTAAATTAACAACCCAGAGAAAAATATTTATCCTCTTAAGCTTGACGGCTCTTTGTTTTCCTGAAGGTTGGTAAAATCGGCGTATTCAGCTGCGGACCGCCTGGACTGACTAAGAATGTGGAGAAAGCGTGCCAGAAGATGAACAAGAGGGATCAGGCCTATTTCCTGCATCACTATGAGAACTTCTGATCAGTTTTGATCTTTAAATTACTTTAAATTACTGTGTGTTACATCAACCACAGTTTTAATTAGCAATATTTTACCATAAATGAATAATCCACTTGATTAAACATGTTTTCTGTGCAGTTTTCTTCTCTAACCAGGTGATGAAAATCAGGAAAAGGATCATTTTTCATTAAATGTTTCACAATTTAATTTGACTTTACTTATGAACTAAGCAGTGTACTTGTTTGATGTGTATGATATATATAATGATTTTATGCTATAAATGCTGATAAAATAACCAGTTTTGAACCACAGTTTACTGAATAATCAGTTTCAGTACAACGGAAATGTATTTGAAGTGATGTTTTTTTTTATTAGATCATTTTTAGAAATCGTGCCTTTTGATGTTTCATTGATGTCAACTTCTAACAAAACCTGAAATGTTTCATCTGATTTGTGGAAGTTTAATTATGTAAAGACCTGTGAGCTATTGTGCAGCGAAGGCTCTCAAATTTTAGCCGTCGGCTCCTTCTGGTGCAGCTTGATTTTGGACTAGAATTCATCCAAACTCACAAATTAGATTTATTGGTTGACTGATAAGGCAGACTGCTCGACTGTAATGTTAAATTTTCTCACACAGTCTGCAGTTTCTTGTGTGTGTCGTGTAATTATGTGAATTACTCAGCCTTGACGTCCCTCGTCCTGCTTTGCCTATTCACTTCAATAAGCTGAATATTTTTTATGCCTCAATCTGAAGAGTTCAGATCAAGACAGATGGTTGTATAGAGATATTTTAACAGATTAGTCACCAAAAAACGACATTTTTATTTCTTAGAAAGAGTGAAGTAAAAAAAACCTTTAGATATCCATTTATTTCAATGAATAGAAATGGAAACAAGATAAGTAAATAACACTTAGATATTTTACGACTGTTATCAATCAAACATATTTCTAAAAAAACATTAAGTACATGAGGAGGGGGTTATTGGTCAGTCAGAAAATATTAGATTCTTCTTCTACTCCAAACAGACAACCTAAAGTATATATTTTCTAAACGTATTTGTCACAGCTCAGAACAGAGGACCCAGTATTCAGGCAGACAGTGGGATTATTCAAAAAGTGTTTATTTAGAACTGGCAGATCGGATCAGAGTAGAAGCAGCTACAGTGTCTGAGGCAGGAAACTCTGAAGAAAGGAAACACAGGTTAGTGACCAGGTAAATCTTTTTCTCTGTGCCCAGAGAATAAGGCAGGATCCAGCCGATGAGCTGCCAACAATATGCAGCGGGTGCTGCCCACACAACAAAAAATGCCTTCTAAAAAATAAGAAAAAAATATAGTGTTTTAAGTGAATTATTGCTTATTTTGAGCAAAATAATCTGCCAGTGCAGCAAGTAAATGAGACTTGGTAAGATTTCTTAAAACAAGAACATTATATCCGAGTAGTAAGCATACAAAAAAATTTAAATCAAGTAAAAAAATCTACTTTTTCTTTTACTCGTTAAGATTTTTTCTCATTTTAAGCAATGTATTCTCGTTTATTATCATTATTGCTTAGAATTTAATAACCTCTAACCAATTATTGCTGTCTGTTTTTCTTAGCTAGAATTAATTTCATTATTTAGGTGTAGTGAATGTATGGGAAAAATACACTTGACAAAAACACACTGTGTAGGATAGATGCTGCAGCTGCAGGCAAACAGATCAGAACAGGCACGCACAGTGGTTGAGAGGCAGAACAGGTCAGGATCAGGAGATCAGAAACATTAAGGTATGCTAAAAACACTCTCACCAATGGCACGAGAGAACAAGAATAATCTGTACTGATGACTGGATTCTAGCAGCTTAAATAGAGTCAGGAGCAGGTGGAACAGATGAGAGGTAATGAGGAACCGGGCAGAACAGGACAGGAGAATGAAATGAATAATTAATCCAGTCATCAGCGCTAAGATCATGGCAGTATTCACATATTCACACTTTCTTTTCTTTTTCAAATAACCAACACAAATGGCTGTGGTAGAACAGTGCTTCATGGTGAAGTGCGAGGAAAGATGCATCTAAGATCTGAAAACCAGTACGTGACAGCAAAATGAAAGCTCCCGGATAAACAATAGAAACGACAAATCTTAACAATTAAAAAAGGAAAATTATATGATTTTGATTTGTTTTGTTTTCCACTAGAAAACAAAATGTATGTAAAACTATGAAGGTTTGTTCAAAGCATAGCAGGGATGTAAACTGTTCATTAGGTTTGGTGGAAGCAGTGATGCTATAAAGGCTAAAGGCTGTGGAGAGAAGTGACCTTTTTGTTTTGTTGTTTTTTTTCTTTCATGCAGGTGTGTGAGCTGACTTCTAGGAGCTACTGTTGATTTTCTGTGTTGTTTGTTTTGATGCATTTTTTTCTTATTTATCTTTTCTCTCTCCTCTCTTTTTTTTCAGTCGATCTCTTTCTTTCTTCCCCTGATTTTTATCCCCCTCCCTTTCTGTCTCTGTTGCACACCATGTTGTCCCCTAAGTCATTTCTAATAAAGTTGGGGAAGCGAATGTGTTGGGCTATTATCTAAGTCCAGCAAACAAATTACCGCAACCATACAGGCAAAACCGGATCTGCAAAAAAAGAGAGAAAATAAATTTATATATATATATATATATATATAGATATATATCTATATATATATCTATATATATACACTGGAAAAACGGTCTAGAAATAAGTAAAAATGTCCTAAATTAAGTGTATTTACCCTTAATTTTAGTAGGTAAATGAAAAAGTTTGCCAATGGAATGAGGATTATTAATTGGGATGCACGATATTGGGATTTTGGCCGATATCCGATATGCGGATATTTTAAAACTCATGTAGCCGATAACCGATATCGATACCGATGTTAAAGCTGGACAAAAATAAGTAGTCATTGAAAATAGCAGTTTTGTTATCCATTTCTGACACTTTGAAAAATAATATACTCAAATATATTTTCATATGCTGATATCAAATCGATTTTTAAAAACGCGGTATCGATCTATTTTACTTTCAAAATCTGTTGAAATTTCATCGTTCTGTTACAAACTCTCGTGATATTTAGCAAATTCTTGTGAGACTTTGTTAGTAAAATAGATCGATTCCGCGTCAATATATCAACATATAAAAATATGGCAACATTTGGTGAATTTTCGGGGGATTTCGTAGCATAACGATGACATATAGCAATATTTCATTAGTAAAAGAGATTGATATGGTGTTTTTAAATGGCAATATATCAGCATATGAAGATATTGGGATATTTTAATGTATCAATATTTTTTCCTCGTCTTTAGAAGTTTTTAAGTCTGTAAAAAAAGAAGTTTTTGAGGAAGAAGAAGAAGTAGTATTTTTTATTTTTTTTTTTAGACTTTAGAAACTCAGAAGCTGATCAAATATCGGGTTAAATATCGGTGGGGTGGCCGATGTCCGATATTCAGTTTTAAGGCCGATACCGATAGGGGGCCGATTATATCATGCATCCCTAATTATTACTCTTAAAATAAGATAATTAGATTATGCACTTGAAATAAGACAATGTAATTGTTTTTTTTCTTATTTTAAGTGTAATTTGTCTTGTTCCATTGGCAAAATGTGTCTTTTACTTCCGCAATCCAAGAACAATTTACTAATTCTTAGAAAAAATTACTTATCAAGACTTCGATTTTTTCCGGTGTATATCTCCTTTTCCCTCACTCCCTTCTAGACTCCTCTGTTCCACCTGCTCCCAATCAGCTCATTAGTCCAGTCTTTGTTCTGTTTCCTATTTATACTATCCCTGTGCAGTTCCCTCGTCTTTTCCTGGCTGTATATTTTCCCTGATGTCTCCAAGGTTCTGTTTTTTTTTTTTTTTCTATATTTTGTTATGTTGGATTTTTGGATTCCTGCCTCAGTTGCGTGTGAATACTTAATTAAATCTACAAAACTCACCCCTGCATTTGGGTTGTATTTACTTTAGGGGTGCTAGAATATAGATGACTGACTTCAAAAGAGTTTTCTTATTAGAAAAAATGATCCCCTTTATGTTGGTCCTTCAGATAAGATTGACATATGAAACGGCACCCCCTTCTGGAAAAGAGGCAATCCTCCTCACCTCAGTCACAGCAGCTGGATGAAACTTTGGTCCAAGGTCGTATCGATTCGTTTTGCTTTTACTCCTTTTTTTTAATATAGATTTTCAGTACAATACGTTAAGTTCCCCCTTTAAACGCCCTTTCTCCATCCTATCACATGTTAACTGCTTCTCTGCGGTTCGGCCTGATGGGTCGTTGCACCCAGGGAAAGGGTTTTAATCTTGTTTTAATCAGGTGTCACATTCACAGCAATAACTGGGGAGGTGAAGTTGTTGGAGTGCTGATCAATGAACTGATGAACTCTTAAACTTTCCGGCTCAGGAGGCACTTTAGCTGTACATCTCATTCACTTTACACAAGTTTTCACAATGAGTGGAGGAGTTGAATCACTAACCTTGTTTTCTAGGTCCCTGGAGCTTTTTGGGCCAGTCAGCAGGACCGAAATAACTTCTAAAATATTCCCTGTGAAGGAGTATGGAGGGAGAAGAAGAATAGAGACGTTTTTTTAGCCTGGTCTGAACGAGTGAATGCTTTAATCTACCAAGAAGACAGAGGAGACGATGCACAACATGTTGAGGATGTCTGAGGAGTGTAGAGCATTGTGCATGGCTAAACTTAAGAGGCTGTTAATCTTCTTAGAGCTGTTAAGTACCCAGCTAAAAATCAGCTACTGTCCAGATTGTTTCTTCTTGTCCCAGATAAACTACTCAGACAACAACAAAAGGAGAGCTCAAAGAAATATGTGGCAGAGTCTTCATGTTGGTATGAAATATGCGCCTCCTCTCCTTTGGGAGCTGTGCTGACAGAGCAGTGGGAGACGTTCTGTTGGGCCTTCATGATTTAAGGATGTTCGGCAGCGGCACCAAGAAGTGGTTTGTGAAAAAGCAGAAGAAGCAGCAGAAATCTGGCAAGAGGCCATGCAGCAGGAAGAGGAAGAGATGGGCGGCTAAGATCCTCAAAGAACACAGAGAGCAGATCCTCCGTGAGCTGGATGTCAGCGCCGTGCTGCCTTACCTGGTGTATGATAAGGTCTTCTCACTGGTGGAGTACAAGGAGATCCTGGGGCAGGAGACCAGCAGGGGACGAGCAGAGGTGTTCCTAAATCACCTGTCCTCCAAGGGGCCCGCTGCTTTCTCCTCATTCTGCTCCGTTTTGGAGGAGGTGTGTCCCCGCCTGCTTACCTGCTTCCTGTTGGACGGAGAAGGTAAACACCTGAAGGAGATTTATTTTTGTTATTAACCACCAGACTGCATTAGGAGCGTTGTTATCTTTCTGAATTACACAACTTTAGCTTCCCAATCAAATTTTCTATAAATCTACCTAAAGTCCAAATTTAAAAAACCAAGAAAACGACTGAGACAGAGAAACTACTTATCCGTAAAGCCAGAGACTCAGACTAAGAGTCTGCAAAAATAGCCTCTTAAATCTGGGTGGCTGAGGAGATTACTGAGCAGCCAGTGTTCCTAACTAGCCAAGGTGGCAGCAGTTTGCACTATTTCACTCAGAATGACATAAAATAAGTTCTGTTCTTATGCAAAAGACTGAAAGCTCTTAAAATTTCATCACATAAAGACAACTTGGATTTTATTTGATAGAATAAAACTTCAATTCAGTTTATTTCTATAGCTCCAATTCACATCAAGGCACTTTCCAGTTCATCAGATCATCCAGTCAGATTGATTCAAAGTTTTTTTAACTAAGGAAAACCAGCTGATTGCATCGACTCAAAGGCAATCCCTCCTGCTACACTGGAAAAACGATCTAGAAATATGTTTAAAAAAGTGTATTTACCCTTAATTTGAGTAGGTAAATGAGAGAGTTTTCCAATGGAATTAGTATTTTTATTCTTAAAATAAGATAATCAGATAATATACTTGAAATAAGGCAACGCAATTGTTTTTTTCTTATTTTAAGTATAGATTGTCTTAATCCATTGGCAAGATGTCCCTTTTATCTCCTCAATCAAAGAACAAATGCACTTATTTTAAGAAAAATTAAGTATCTAGATTTCGATTTTTCCGGTGTAAGGCAAGGCAAGGCAAGGCAAGGCAAATGTATTTGTATAGCACAATTCAGTACAAAGACAATGCAAAGTGCTTTAAATGATTAAAATATAGGAAAATAAAACGGAATCAAAGCAAGGAGGAAAAAAATAAGAAAATAAATAAATAAAATAAAATTTAAAAATGAAAAATATTAAAGTATTAAAGTAGCTGCCGGTTAATATTCATTGCGTGTGCAGTGAAATGCGACCGCAAATCAGATGTGTCAAAGTGACAGATCCGATGATGTCACAGCGAGAGGCGGGACACAAGAGCAGGGCGAGGGAGGAAAAAAAACACGGACTCAAAACACTCTGAACACAGACAGCTGCATCCAACCTCTGTTACCTTTGGCTAAAGTAGCAGGAAGGGGGGAAAAAACAAAGTATTAATAGGGACATGTCCACACGTCAAAATCATCTAAAAATGTGAAAAAATTTAATATTTACCATTAAGTTCAATTCAATTCAATTCAGTTTATTTATATAGCGCCAAATTCACAACACATGTCATCTCAAGGCACTTTACAGTTCAACCAGATCATACACTCAAATTGATACAAAGTTTTCTATCTAAGGAAAACCAGTTAATTGCATTGACTCATTGACTCAAATACAATCCCCCACACTAAGCATGCTTGTAGCGACAGTGGAGAGGAAAAACTCCCTTTTAACAGGAAGAAACCTCCAGCAGAACCAGGCTCAGTGTGAGCGGCCATCTGCCGAGGCCGACTGGGGTTCAAGGAGACAGAAGCAGAGATACAAAAAGCAGCTGTAAAAGGCGGCCCCGTCCAGGAAACACACAGCCAGGCAGACGAGCTCCAAGGCAGCTCCCATGCCAGAGGACGAAGAGAGCACATCCACTCAGTCACGGTCAGAGAAACAGGACCACACTGGAAAACAGGCCGATCTCCAACATCTATTAACAAGGGTGTTGATGGAAGCAGCACAGCTGATGTTTCTTTCCAGGATGACGTCACAGCCAAACAGGAACAGACGAGGCAAAGCTACTCTGAGGAAAAGCAGAGAGAGCAGAAGGTTAGAGATTGAACTAACAGATTCTGCAGAATAGGAGAACAGAGAGAGAATGAAGCAGAATGATGAAATGGGGGTCCCTATGTCCTCCAGCAGTCTAAGCCTATAGCAGCAGAACTATAGAGATAGCTCAGGATAACCTGAGCCACCCTAACTATAAGCTTTATCAAAAATGAAAGTTTTAAGCCTAGCCTTAAAAGTAGACAGGGTGTCTGCCTCACGGACTAAAACTGGTAGTTGGTTCCACAGGAGAGGAGCCTGATAACTAAAAGATCTGCCTCCCATTCTACTTTTAGAAATTCTAGGAACCACTAGTAAACCTGCAGATTGAGAGCGAAGTGCTCTGTTAGGAACATAAGGAACAATCAGATCTCTGATATAAGATGGAGCTTGGCCATTTAAGGCTTTATATGTGAGAAGGAGGATTTTAAATTCTATTCTTGATTTAACAGGAAGCCAATGAAGAGAAGCCAGGATAGGAGAGATATGATCTCTCTTTTTCATTTTCATTAGAACTCTGGCTGCAGCATTTTGGATCAGCTGAAGGCTTTTAACTACAGTTTGTGGACTTCCTGATAGTAAAGAATTACAATAGTCCAGCCTTGAAGTAACAAATGCATGGACTAGTTTCTCAGCATCACCCCTGGACAGGATATTTCTAATTTTTGCAATGTTCCTCAGATGAAAGAAGGAAATTCTAGAAACCTCTTTGATATGGGATTTAAATGACAGGTCCTGATCAAAAATAACACCAAGATTTTTTACTTTATTATCTGAAATCAGTTTAATCCCATCCAAATGAAGTGACTGGCTAATCAGTTAATATTCATTGCGTTGGGTAGTTGAGTAGGTAAATAAGATAATTGCCAATTGAAGGAGTATTTTTAGTCTTAAAATAAGATAATTAGAGAAAACGCACTTGAAATAAGACAATGTAATTGTTTTTTCTTATTTTAAATGTAAATTGTCTTGTTCCATTGGCAAAGTGTCTCACTTACCTCCTCAATTCAAGAAAAAATGCACTTATTGCAAGAAAAAAATGACCTATTTAGATTTCAATTTTTTGCAGTGCGCCTGTGCTGTGTTGGACTGGCCTGTAGAAAGATTTCAAAATTGCTCATTTTTAATTTAATCTGCTTGTTGTTCAAAGTTAGGACAAGAAAATTTGCTCTCAAGAAGTGAAATAGGGTTTGTATTTGTAAAAGACCGAACACCAGAAAATTAGATTTTTACTTTAGTTCATGCACTACTTTTTGTTTTTGTATCACATACAATCCTAGTAAGATTTCTACGGTGGCCGGGAGGTGCAAACCAACATTACAAGTTATTTTACAAGTTCCAAAAGAAATGATCATTTCAGAAAACATATTTACATAAAAAACTTTTACAAATTCCAAAAAATGATCATTTCAGAAAACAAATTTACATAAAAAAAAAAAACTTTTACAAGTTCCGAAACAAATTATCATTAATTATCACTTGTAAGTGTTTCGAATGTTTTTTATTTGTTTTCTTAAAATACTATTTGTTTAGAATTTTTAAAAGTGTTTGGGTTTATTTTAATTTTATTTTTTTTATGTAAATTCGTTTTCCGAAATGATATTTTGTTTTGGAACTTGCAAAAGTTTTTTTAGATTTTGTAACCTGCCGGCCACCGTAGATTTCTCTGGGTTGATGGATTTTCACTTAACATAATGTAAATTCTTTGCATTAACAAATAATTTTATACCTTTTTTACCTTTTGGCAAAGTGAGTAAACCAAAAATACAGAAGAAGGTGTAGATATCCAGTAGTTCTTATATATATTTTTTCTTTGTTTGACCATTTTTTCCCTATATTCTATTACTGCTATAACACCACATTCCCATTGCGGGACAATAAAGGGAATTTCTATTCTATTCTATTCTATTTTATTCTATTCTATTCTATTTTATTCTATTCATCTACAGATGGAGTCCCAGTACGGAGCAGGAAAGCGTGGCTCTCTGCGCCCCCAAACAGTCCAGCAGAGCAGCCTCTGTGTCCCCCGCCAATGTACACAGATCCTGTGTTCGACACAAGGTGAGACCCCCCCCCCACACCCCTAAATATAACTAATGATAACAAAATACTTTTTGTTTTGATGTTTAAATGCTTCTGTACTGATTCAGATAAACATGCCTTTGTTGTGAAATCACTATGAACAGCCTGATGGTGCGTGGTGTAGCTGTACAGGGGGTAACGAGGGGCGATTAGCCTCTAACGACCCCCCCCCATCAGGAATCGTAAGGTCCGGAGAAAATCCAACATGTATGTAATTTAGTCGGCCGTTGTAAGGTGGTCGATGGCAAAATCGCTCAGTGGGCAAACAAGGATTCTTCTTCTTCTTCTTCCTCTCAGAGGAAAACCCAGCAGCAAGGCGGGGGGGCAATGAGTGAAATGGAGTTATTTCTGTTAAACTGACAGACCGCAGTAGCCATGTTAGCTCAGCCATGTCTTTGTCCGAATACGTCGTCTCCTGCTCTTGTTAGGGCTTTCAGCACAAAATTGCAAAAATATCCAAGGCAGCGTGTTTCACTCTAGTGAGCTTCATATTTAACAGGAGGCATCGACACTTCCGTCTTTTTCCTCTTTTGCTCATTTTACTTCCAGATAGATGACTGCGAGTAGCACCATCTCGCTGCGGAGCTGAGTCAGACGTGGTTTTCAGACGTACAGCGAACTTTTAAACCCTGCAGTTTGGTCGTACAGTCATGATCGGTTCACTATGTTAAACCCACATGCAGAACACTAACAGAGACAGAGGAAAAGTTTAACAATGTTTATTTGAAGAAGTGTATACAGAGTAAATAATACTGGTTCAAGTGCCGGTCCGGGACAGGTCTCACAGTTTCTGAAGGAGATGAGAGTTTGGTTAGCCAGGGACTAAAATGGCTGAACTGGTGAGTTGAATTATGTTGATACCTTGAAGAGGTTCTGAGAGATCCTTGAGAGGGGGAACCGGTTGGGTCCAGAGACGGAGGGGCCAACAGAGAGTTCAGCAGCAGCAGTGTCTAGCTTCTAGCTAGGGATTGACGGATCAGAGTTGTTTCCTAGCTCTTCCCAGAGAGCTAATTAGAGTCCAGGCTGAGATCTTCAGGTTTGGCTTACTTGGGCAGGCAGGCAATCTTCCAGGTTAAGCTCCTCCAGAGCTTCAGACTTCAGTCGGCTCTTTCTATAAGCAAAGAAGACAAAAACAGGTTAGATGACTAGTCTCTCTCAAGAGTCAACTAGTGATCACAAAGATAATCAGAGGCTCAGGTTCGCTAACCAAACTTGGTCAACACTGCTGCGTTGAAGGAAGGTCTGACTGCTGCTTAAGTAGTGTGGTCTTCTGATGAGCTGATGACTCCCAGGTGTGCAGAGAACTCCAACTCAGGAATCCCACAGCGCTCTCTGCAGGCGACAGGTGGCAGATCTCCAGATCCCAACACGTACAGTGTTAGCTGTAGCTGCGTGCAACGATTGAAAAAATCGTACAGCGTATGTCCGGCTTAAGCAAACGAGCAATGATCACTCCTTTCTTGACATATTTCATACTTTTCTCATCTCTGGTACTTTGATTTGGGTTTGCCTTTTTTGTTTAAAATTTCTTTCCACATTATACCATAAATGTCAATTAATTCATTCAGCTCAATACTAAGGGACTATAATGTTCAACACTTTGGCCCCTGGTAGGTTTTCCATTGCAATCTCCCCTCAGCTTTCCTGAAGTGGTGAGACCACGGCTAATTCCACAGCCAGGATTGGGGGGTTCGCTAATGAGTGCTTAGAGATTAAGTTTAGGCAACAGGAGGCCCCCCGCCCCCCCCCCCCCCTCCCCTCCCCCACCGCCTTTTAGGGAGAACTACCTAATAGGCCAATTGTCAGGTTGGGGCTGCGGCCCAGGCATGATGATGACTCTGGGTGTCACAATGCAGTGGATTGGGTGTCTGTATTTGAATGTTACTTGATATACTGGAATCATCTCCACACAGTTTGGTTTCTAGAACTCAGAACTAGGGCTGAACTCTCCTGCTCTTGACTTGCTTGATAAGTCAAATGTTTGGGGATATTGAAGGGCACGTTGAGAGCCATGCTTGCAGAGGTTTTCCCTGGGTGATCCAGGAAGCCCTCTGTTCTGGCTGGGTTTAGTTCAGAATCTCAGCATTTTCGGAGACGGTCCTCTGACAGGGTTTCCATTTAATGATTCTGCTGAACGCAGGGAATGATGGTGTTACGTAAAGGGCTGTGGTTGGCCTGAAAGATCTCTAAGATCTTAATCCAAGTTTGGTTTTTATTGCTAGACTTCATTGCTATGGATGGGATGTTCATAACCAAGGTAGGCACAAGGTGGTTTATAAGTGTGCTTGGTACCATGACACCTTTGGGAAAAAAATAAAACTCACAGAGCTCCAACTTTCTGTTCTGGGGTTGGTAGAGTCTTCAACCAATCACCTGATGAAGAACTGAACTGGGTGAAGAGGGAAGCTGTCAGACAGAACTGCTCAAGCTAAATGATTGGTGAGGGTGGCGGAGGATATCATTAAGGGGATCTTTAATGGACATTTTCTCATCTCTAGAGATGAACCAGGATCAAGGAAACAAAACAGGGTCTATTCAGAGGTTCCACTGAAAAACTGGCTTTTGGTTGAGGGTATTTACTGGCAGTGTAGTGAGGCAAAGGAGGATGTCTGGTTGGAGGATGTTGTTCTGTTAGCCTCAATAAATCCTGACCTTCAGTTTGGCTCCTGAAGAAATGATGGGATGCTCCCGGTTGGTTGTAGCTCAGTCTCTGCTCAATACAGAGATATTTTTGAGAGAAAAGTAATGGGATGTGGGTGGATGAAGTGAGCCTTTTCGTAGGTTATTCAAGCTTTTTAGGATTTTGGTCAAGCTCAAAATGGAGCTACTGCTCCTCTGCCTCAGTTCAGTTGGTTTAGGAGAGACTAGTAGATCCTAAAGACAAAATCGCAAGAGAGGAGTGGTGTCTGCATTTCAATGCAGTGAGGAATGTTCTGATCTTTATATTGGAGAAACCAAACAACCTCTCCACAGTCAGGGGCTTGAACTCAGGACCTCAGGATTCCAAGCTCTATGCCCTAAGCACTAGGCTGCCACTCCCCGTAGGTATGGGGCATTGCAGGCTAACAAAGCCAAACAACCCCCATTCCAAAGGGTCTGACCCATTTGTACATTTTAATTTGCACGTTTTCTAAACAAAAACAAAGGCTTTATTTGGCTGCTGGATAAAGCCTGGAACTCAACGCTATTTCTGACACTTTGAATTGAAAAGGCTTCCTGGATGTGAAGCAAAACATCTTCAAACTTGGAAACAAAGTCCAGTCGATTTATTTTTTTTACTTTTTTGAACCATTATAATACAGTTCACACTGAGGTATTTGTTCTGTAAATAACTGAATTGATACCTAAAATCTGGGCCCACTGTTTATTTTCTCTGTGTATCAAAAGAGAGAAAATGTTCTTTTTAGCTGATGCTAAAAATGTATCTTCTGCTGAGCCAGTCTCCCAAATAACAACCAGAGCAGGGAGGCTCACTGCGGTCGATTTTGTCACTGCGTGTCAGGCCTTCGCCTCGAGAATGTGTCACGACTGTGAGGCGATGTCTGTCCGACTGTTTGTGTGTGTGTTAGACCTCTGGAGATCGCTCTGAAGCCAAGTTCGGGGGGGGGACTTTACATTCGGGGTGAGTGTGTGTGGCACCCTGACCGGCCGTGGGGGGTTACGTGGATGTGATGCCTGAAATGATGGGACAGAAAAGCTGATATGCTCTCTAGACCGTTAAGGAGGCCTTTTTAATTTATGACAGCAAAGTCAGCGTCAGAGACAGCCATCCCAGTGGTCTGTCCCTGGGTAGTGACACACACAAACAGACAGGCTGACATCAAATAAACCAACACACTCAACAAAGCATAGAAGCACACTGTGCCAGAATGGTCACAGAGCTTCCACAGGACATGCAGCACGCTAACAAGGCAACGTAAGTCTGCTCAGAATTTCATTCTAGCTTTAAATACCTTATCTGGGTTCAAATCGATGGACTAGCAGCCTGATGCTGCTTGAACTTCTGCACGGCTTATATTCATCTGAGGGCTGAACTGCTGAAATCTACATTCATTTTTGATAATTAATCCAAACTAATATATTAGTGGAAGCATCCGGAGATCGTCATTTGTGGGAGAAATAGGCCAGAAACTGAAGCAAGCAATGGCTGCTCAGCCAAATAAACTGTGCACCAGCACATGGCTTTGCATGTTTTCTCATGTGACATGTTGATTCAACCTGGGAATGCAGCTTCTTCCTGCTGTCTGACCTGCATGCTCGGGCCAAGTCAAATCCAGGCTTTCTTTGATCCAAGCGAAAGAGCAGGCATATTGTCGGCTGTGTGTGATTCAGAGTCGAATTATGTTTATTATTTTGGCTTTTCCTGTCTGCCTCTGATCCGATATCCTGCTTTCGGGGGAGTGAGAGTCTCGTATTTAATTGCATCTCTTCTGTTTCATAGGCCTGCTGGTTGCCAGATTGAACACTGTTTGGCAAACGTGTTCATTACCCTGGAGCTTTTTTACAGCTTATATTTTATTGTTTTTTATGACATATAACAAGACAAAGGTGAAGTGAAAGGAGGAAAAAAAGGATTTTCTGATCTTTCTTAAATAAAACTTTTAATAAGATAATGTACGATTGTATTTAGTCCCCTGAGTTAATAGCTTGTTTATTGGAAACCAAGTTTAATTTTCAAAAACAGTGATGCAGCAGGATTCATGTGGCAGCATTATACATGTACACTTCTGTTTTATTTGACATTTTTCCACATGCATGCTTGATCTAAATGATCTTCTTCTCATTTATTCGTCACACAGTTTCCTTTAGGGTTTTAATAAGAAAGATATGAGAAGCTTTACTGGTATAAATTGTAAATGTTTCAGTGGAAATTACAAAAGAAAACATAACAATGAAGAACCTCTGATTGGAAAATAAAGCCTATTTTTCTATTGCAGAGTGTTTTCTACAAAACGAATACGCTTATTTAGGAGGTTATGTTAGGATCCTAAAGCAGCTGCTGCGATGTTATTAGTTGCAAAGCCTCCATCCATACATGAAGCAAATGAGACGCTGGCAGGTTGAAGAGAAGGTGGAGGAGGAGAGCAGAGATTAGCTGGAGCTGTGAGGTTATGCTTCTCTGGGCCGATGACTCACCTCGCAGCACACAGAGAGAGAAAGCACTGCGACAGCGTCGAGGTGTGACTCTCTCTGAAAGCGTGTTTCATTACTCTTGGTCTTCTTGGTGCAGTGCATTCATGTGGAGAGGACTTTCTCTGTGAACTCCTCTTTGTTTGGCGCAAAAGCAATAAATCACAGCGTTACAGCAGGCAGCGGGTTCTCGGGTCTCTCATCCAGGTTTACCTCCAGTGGGAGAAACCTCTGAGTCCTACAAACCAACTTTGATTTTTCTTCTTTATCCTGCTGCACGGGATAGGATGGACTTACAAGTCTGAGGACATTAAAAAAAAGAAGGGCAGTCCCGTCTGTCCCATTTACGGTCTAAAATAAAGTGCTTTAGTGTGTTATTAGCACACGCGTGTGCCTGAGCCTGCTGGAATACGCCTGTGTGTGAGTGTGCAATAAAAGATGTCAGCAGTGGGTTCTCATGTGAGAAGGGTAATGATGGGGCAGGGTGCTCAAAGCCATTACTGTAGAAATGCAGAAAGGAGCAGGGGGGGGGGGGGTGCCAATGTGAAATCAAAGTGCTGCAGTGGAGTGTGCATGGATATGCAGTGGGCTTCAGACTGCAGCAGAGCCACTGACCCACTGCTGTGTCAGTGCTTCCCCACTGACACACTACCTCCGCCTCCCATCCACCGGCTCCAAAAAACATACGTCTTATGAGCAGCAGGAGACAGAAACCGGGAGATGGAGTGGGAACTTTAGGGAATGAGAGTGCTTAGCGGTTTTCCTGTCCGCTAATGGCTGCCGTGTCTTAAACGTCTCCGTATGATGAGGTGCGCTGTCTAATTAATCAGGAGTGTTGTCTCAGTGGCGTCCTGGTTAATGGGAGGAGACACACTGCTGTGCTGGTAGGTTTGTTGAAGCGTGGATCTGCTCTGATGATTCCATTAGTGGGATGTAAGGTAGCCGTTGACAGGCAGTGACATTTTTGCCTGCGTGCGACTTTTTATTTGAAAATCATCTCCTTGTTATGTTTTTCTGTATGAAACACGTATGAAGCATCTTTATTTTACCTGAACTACACTGAAAGTAGCCGTCCTTCCATCTGATGGGAGAGACCTGGGTCTTTCCTGGGGTCCCCTTTCAATGAGAGTGCCTCCCAATCTAACTCTGTGGTACTTTCCTAGTGTGACACGATGCCAGGAAACCCCCCAGAGCTGAACAGGAGTCCAAGTCCCCTCGGCTGGCCGGATCGTCAAGGTTATCAAGCCTCCCGGTAGAAAAGAAAGGATGTTTTAGCTGATTTTATTAAAAATCCTGTTCTGTTTGTCATCATACATCCATCGTAATATTGAGAGACAGATTGAGAATTTTGCTTTTTGGCATAATAACAGATCACAGCACCACCCACTCCATCCTATCATCACTTATAAACACATCAACAATCCTGGTAGCGAATTCAGAGGAGCTTATGTATCCTAGTTTGGTCCTGATGTTCATGGCTAAGAGACAATAAAACTAGCCTGACGTAGTCCTACTCAATTCTAGTCAGAATGAGTCTGATGCTGCTCCATAGAGCTGTGATTATGGGGCCAGTTTCGAACGAACCAGGAAAAAAAATGCCTCTGCATTCAATTGGATAGACCTACAACCAATAAGAGCAACGGAGTGCGTGACGTATGTTAAGCGATGCATAGTTGTTGTCAACAAAAATCAAAGCGTGCAGTTGCACGCCTAGAATAAGAAGATGAGCCTTGATCGTGTTTCTCTGTTCCTCTTTTAAAATGAATTTGCTGTCGATATCTTCTAGAACAGACCTAATAGCAGAATCTACTCACCTCAACTCTCCAGCGGCAGCCATTGTTGTTGTCACCCAAGCGCGCTTTGGTCACGTGGTTGATTACGTTACTGTTGATCATCCGTCCATCATCGTATAAAGCCCGCCCTGACAATTTGATTGGCACGCCAGATATTGTGCGAGCGTACTCGCACTACTATTGAGCAATGCCAACCGAACTTCCCGACCTCAAACGTTGTGGGCGGGACTAAGTTCGGAATGGCACCCAGGCTACGATAAAAGCACCTTAAGGGAAAAAAGAGAGCATAAAAACTCTGAGTTCCCCAAACCAGAAATAATATCCCCTCAACATCCATTCCATTCTGCAAACAGAATTTAGTGCTCCAATTTACTCCCCAGCAAACCTGCAGGGGTAACGTTTTGGTCAGATCAATGAAATTCTCCTTAAGTGTTATTAAATGCAGTATCCATAAACGGTTATCAGAACTGAAGTTCATGTACGATGAAAAACAGTCGATCTAAACTACATCGCAGTTCTTTTTTGCATCCTGTTTTACAACAAGCTGTAATACCTGGTCTTAGTTTAGCGCTTTATGTTCTAGATGCATTTGAGAAGCAAATGAAAAGAATGTTCCCTTTAATGCAGGAGACATGAAATAATTAAACGTCAAATCTTCCTTTGTTTTTTTTTTATTCTGTTTTTACTTTGTTGATCAGTATTAAAACATAACAGAGCAGACTGTGCAAGAGACAAGATGGTTGATTAACCCTTTATAGGGCACTCGCTGAAATACTTTAAACCCAATAGTGTTATTGGAATCCAGGAAAAGATCTTATTACCTTTGTAACAATTAAAACAAAAAAATATTTTTGTCTACACTTGTGTATACTAAATGACAAAATAAATCTGTCTAAGTCTAATTCAAAATATACGGATATTTTAATAGCAAAAATTTATGTCAATTTAATGACAAGAAACGTCAACTTGCCCGAATATATTAAGAAAAATAACAAAATGCTTGTGAAATTAATTAATCTTTTCATCGATACCATCCTCGCTGGTGACTAGAAATTCATGGGAAAAGGAGTTGGGTTGCACCGTGTCGGATGAGGGGTGGAAGACAGGGTCAGCTCCACCTCATCTTGTGCCAGTCTGACTTTAATTCAGTTTAAGGTCCTACACAGGATACACTACTCCAAAGCTAAACTTAAAAAACTCTTCAATACAAGTGATACATGCGACAGATACTCTCTGTCACCAGCCAATCATGAAGCTAAGGCGGAAATTCAACTGAAGAAACTCTGATTACTTCCATTCAATCTGAGGCTGATCCGCCTCCGATGCAGCCAATCCGCTTCAAGCTAAATCTCCTCCATGCCCAATTATCTTCCAGCACTCACCTTAAAAGCAATTGCAAATCATCTTTCGGCCTGCTCTTCAACAAGCGCAAGATCCGTCGCTCCTATGTCGGACTTTGATTCAGACCACCGTAGTAAGCTCATCCGACTCCTCCTCGATGCTCCTTCAACCTCACCTCCAGTGTGTAGTCCCTCCAGACTTTCATGGAGTTCCCTGTCACTTTAAACGGTCCGGCAGAAGACTGCCATGTTGAGCCTGGTTCTGCCAGAGATTTCTTCCCAAAGGGGATTTTTTCTCTTCACAGTCGCTTCATGCTTGCTCTTCATGCAAACTTTGTTCATTCAGTGACATCTAACTCTAGCATCACCTTGTATACCAGCCTCTATGGATTAACCAAACTTCATCTATCTAAACTCCACCACCAGTTTCAGGCCCGGGGGGAAATATCCATACTCTCATACATCAGTTTATCTGCATTAAAGTATAAATCAGCGTTTATGTTTCCTGCGGAGGCCTGAGCGCCAAAGTTCAAACTCTTGTATCAATAAAATTCTTCTAATTGCATCTTTCTCTCTCTGTGAGTTTTTCAGATTGAAATACACACATGTTCTTTTCCTGTCCCACATTTAGCTCATTCTGGTCCTCCTTCTACAATACTTTCACAAAAGCTCTAAACAAACCAGGGCTTCAGAGTCCTCTGACCTCCATCTTTGGTGTGCTTGAGGATTTCACACACTTCACGAACAGAGAAAGTAACGCTATTGCTTTCGCACCTCTGGTAGCCAGAAGACGCATATTACTTCAGTGGAGGGATAAGAATCCTCCCTACACTGACTCTTGGCTGAAGGATCTAATGTCACTCCTACACTTAGAAAAAATTAAGTACAGCATTAGGGGATGTGTCGACCAATTTTATAAAACTTGGAATCCCATTCTTTCCTTGGTTGACTCAACTTCCTCCTTAGATGATTAAAAAGTATGGCTTTAATTAAGATACACGGACATAACCCCTCTCTAATTCCAGTGGTTTGATCTGTTGGAACACCAGTCAGGATTTTCAGAGAAGCCAGTGGTTGGGTTAGGGAGTTGGTGGTCCAACCTAAAGCACAATATGCAATAAATTATATAATTATATATTTTTATTTTGTTTTCTAAGCATTTTAGATGCCTCCTCTGAATTCTGTTTGTTTATTATCTTTTTTTTTTTTTTTTTTGCTTGTCAGTAACTGTTCTCCCCTCCTGTTTTCTCATTATGAGGGAGAGAATCACGTTTGCTTATTGTTAACATTTTTCACTGTATTCCTGGGAATGTAGGGAGGGGGGGATAAGTGAAATGTATTTTCGTGTAAATGAATGTATTTTACACTTCTAACCCAATTAAAACATATATATAGAAAAAAAAAAGAAAAATAACAAAAGTGCTTCTATAAGAAATTAATGAAAAACAGTAAAAGGGTAAAAGAAACACATTTTTGGTAGATCATAACCTTAGAGCAGAGGTCTTCAACGTTTTCCAGGCTAAGGACCCCAAACTGATGGCGAGATGGAGCGGGGACCCCCTGATTATATATATTGTATGAAATAGAGTTCTATCAAACTGGTCCTATAGTCACTCTATTACTGATGGAGTAATGTAACTAAAGTAATCCCTCCTTGGGATTATTAAAGTATTTCTGATTCCTGGTTGATGGGACAGGTGTTGTGAATGAAACGGTGCCCAGCTTGAAAGAGCTCCTGTGTGTCACTGAATGTGAGCATCGATGACTGAAAGACATCTTCTGCCTCCATTGATCTGTTTACTACAGTCTGTTGGATTCATGTTAATGTGGATTTAAAGACATTTCAATTAGTATATAAAATATAAAAAAAATATATAAAAAAAAGTCTAATCAACCAAAACTTTCATGACCCCCATGCAGTACCTCCATTGACCCCCTGTTGAAGACCTCCACCTTAGAGGCATTAATGCTGATACTAACACATTTTTTAGTTTATAAACCTAAATATAAATGTTAACTAGACTTATTAACTTTTTAAATTAACGTTTTACCTTTTTTTTTCTTGGCTTTTTAACATTTCAATTAGGTAATCTGTCATGATGGGATTAGATGTCTAACCCATATGCAGAAACACACGGAGGTAGGAGAAAGTTCAAAGGTTTATTGACAAACAGTGTAAATAAAATGTGAACAGGAACTGGGGTGGTCAGACTGGTCAAGGCTGGATCTCCACTGCTAGAGGTGGAACTGATCAGCAGGTGGGGGGAACCCTGTGAGTCCAGAGGCTTATCGGCAGGCTGAGGGCTGAGGCAGAGACTGAGACTGAGTGCAGGCAGGCAGGTTTCTGGCTGAGAGAAGGGATTCAGATCTGCAGAGGGGGAACCTTGTGAGTCCAGAGGCTGGTCGGCAGGCAGAGGGCTGAGGGCTGAGGCTGAGTGCAGGCAGGCAGGTTTCTGGCTGAAAGAAGGGATTCAGATCTGCAGAGGGGGAACCTTGTGAGTCCAGAGGCTGGTCGACTGGCAGAGGACTGATGTCAGGATGAGACTGAGACTGAGGGCTGGCAGGCAGATTCCAGGCATGGGCAGAGGCAGAGACTCAGACTTGTGCAGGCAGGCAGATTCCAAATTGAGGTCTCTCTCTTCAGTGTTTCAGGTTTCCAGGCAAGTCAGGTTCTGAGAGACAGGGAGAAAACAGGGTCAGACAGGTTCACAAGAATCAGGCAAGATCTGGTAGACTGGCTCAGGTTTTGCTGGTACCATTACTGGCAAACACTCTGGCCCTGGAGTGTCAGTCTCCTCCTCCTTAAGTAGGAGTCCTCTTGATGAGCAGATGGAAGACAGGTGTTGCAGGTGAGCACAAGCCCTCAGGAAGGGATCCTCGGCGCCCTCTGGTGGGCAAGCCTCCGGATCCCAACATAATCTATCATTCAAGGGCTCATCTAATTGGTCAAATGCCAAAATAAGATGTAGAGCCATGTAGCCGGATCTTTGCTGAATGACTGGATATAGATCTAGTGTTTCTAGACCTCACTGAGGGCCGGGGGTGGGGACTCCATTTGTAAGTGATCAAAAACTATAACGGTAACTTGCCCTGTAAAGGGTTAAAAATGTCC